ATATTGTCCTAAATGACAAAGTCTTGTCCTTTATATGGCTGCATAATATTCCCGTGTGTGTGTGTGTGTGTGTGTGTGTGTGTGTGTGTGTGTGTGTGTACGTGTGTACGTGCACACCTCCTTTATCCATTCATTTATGAATGGACATCTGGGTTGCTTCCATATCTTGGATATTATAAATACTGCTACAATAAACATAAGGGTGCATACATCTTTTTTAATCAGGGTTTTCATTTTCTTTGGATAAGTACACAACAGTAAAATTATTTGTTCTTGTGGTATTTTTGTTTTTAATTTTTTGAGGAACCCCCATACTATTTTCCACCATGGCTCTACCAATTTTCCTTCCCACCAACAGTGCATGAGGTTTTCTTTTTCTCCACATCCTTGCCAACACTTGTTATTTTTTGTCATTTTGATAGTTGCCATTCTAACTGGTGGAAGGGGATATCTCATTGTGGTTTTGATTTACATTTCCCTGATGATTACTGATGTTGAGTATCTTTTCATGTGTCTGTTGGCCATCTGTGTGTCTTCTTTGGAAAAATGTCTATTCAGCTCCTCTGCCCATATTTTAATCAGATTTTTTTTTGGTGTTGAGTTATATAAATTCTTTATATATTTTGGATATTAACCCTTGTCAGATATATCATTTGCAAATATTTTCTCCCCTTCAGCAGGTTATCTTTTGTTTTGTTGATGGTTCCCTTTCCTGTGTAAATACTTTTTATTTTTATATAGTTCCAATAGTTTATTTTAGTTTTTGTTTCCTTTACCTGAGGAGACAGATCTAGAAAAATCTTGCTACAGCCAATGTCAGAGAAATTACTACCTGTGTTCTCTTCTAGGACTTTTATTGTTTCAGATCTCAAATTTAGGTCTTTAATCCATTTTGAGTTTATTTGGATGTATGGTATTAAAAAGTGGTTCAGCTCCATTCTTTTACATATGACTGTCCAGTTTTTCCAACACCATTTATAGAAGACACTGTCTTCCCCATTATATATTTCTGCTACCTTTGTTGTAAATTAATTGACCATTTAATTGTGTTTATTTCTGGGGTGTCTATTCTGTTCTTTTGATCTCTGTGTCTATTTTTTGTGCCAATACCATGCTGTTTTGATTGCTACAGTTTTGTAGTTATCTTGAAATCTACTTTGTGATACATCCAGTTTTGTACTTCTTTCTCAAGATCACTAGTCTTCTGTGGCTCCATACAAATTTTAGTATTATTTTCTCTTGTTTTGTGAAAAATGGTGTTGGTATTTTGACAAGGATTGCATTGAGTCTGTAGATTGCTTTGGGTAATATGAATATTTTAATGATATTAATTATTCCCATCTATGAGAATGGAGTATCTTTCCATTTGTTTTTGTCATCTTCAATTTGTTTTTTTAAAGCAGTTTTAAATGTTTGTTTATTTTGAGAGAGAGCGTGCCCACGAGTGGGGGAGAGACAGAGAGAGAGGGAGACACACAATCCCAAGCAGGCTCTGCAATTGTCAGCACAGAGCCCGGCTTGGGGCTTGAACTCATGAACCATCAGATCATGACCTGAGCCAAAACTAAGGTCAGATATTTAATCTATTGAGCCACCCAGGTATCCTTGTCATCTTCAGTTTCTTTCATCAGTGTTTTATGGTTTTTGAAGTATACTTCTTTCGCCTCTTTCGTTAAGTTTATTCTTACATATTTTATTCTTTTTAGTCCAGTTGTAAATGGTGTTGTTTTTAAAATTTCTCTTTTCTTCTCTTTTGTCATTATTGTATAGAAATGCTACCAATTTCTGGTTATTTATTTTGTTTCCTGTTACTTTACTGCATTTATTTATTATTTCTAGTAGTTGTTTTATGCAGTCTTTAGGATTTTCTTTTTTTTTCCTTTTTTTAAGTTTATTTATTTATTTTGAAAGAGAGCAACCAGTGAAAGGGTAGAGAGAGAGAGGGAGAGAGAGAATCCCAAGCAGGTTCTATGCTTAGCAGCACCAGCTCACCAACTATGAGATCATAACCTGAGCTGAAACCAAGAGGCAGACAGACACTTAACCAACTAAACCACCCAGGTGCCCCAGGATTCTTTATAGTATAAATGTGTGTCATTTTAATTGTCTATAGATGTCTATAGTAGAGTTTTCTGAATGGACAATCATATTGTCTGAGACAGAAGTCAGTTTTATATTATTCTTTCTAATACTTAGATCTGTTGTTTGTTTTTGCCTTATTGCCTTGGCTTCAGTACTATCTTAAATAGAAGCAGTGACAACGGGCATTTTTTTCTCATATGTGACCTTAATCAAAATGCTTTCACAAATTCACCATTAAGTAATATGTGTGCAGTGTAATATGGTAGATACACTTTATTTAAAAAAAAAAAAAGTTTAATCAATTAGCATGAGTGAAGGAGGGACAAAGAGAGAGAATTCCAAGCAGACTCCACACTGTCAGTGCAGAGCCCTACGTGGGGCTTGATCTCGCAAACCATGAGATCATGACCTGAGCTAAAATCAAAAGGTGAACACTTAAGCGACTTAGCTACCCAGGTGTGCCTGGTAGATATACTTTCAAAGTTAATATGCTCAAATATTTTTCTTATCATAAATGAGTGGTTAATTATATTGGATGTATTTACTACATCTGTTAGGATAACCATGGAATTTTTCTCCTTCTTTAATTTAATACAATGATTAAATTAATATATATATTTTTATCTTATTTGGTGGTACCCTTGCACTTCTGGAACAAATTGCATTTGGTCTTTTCTTTCATTGTCCTTGTCTAGTTTTGGTTTCAAGGGTATATAAGTCTTATGAGTTGGATGGCTTTCTTTTCTGTTATCTAAGTACTTTGTGTGTGTGTGTGTGTGTGTGTGTGTGTGTGTGTGTGTGTGTGTTGAGAGAAAGGAAGAAAGAGAAGGTGGGGAGAATCTGTTCCTTAAAAGCTTGTTAAAACCACTTTAAAACACTCTAGATCTGTTGTCTTTTTCAGAAGCTAGTGATAGTAAATGTGAAAGAATTTTGATAACCAATTTAGTTTTTTAGAGATTACTTATTGCCATTTATTTTCTATGTGTATCTTCTGAGAACTCAGAGGGATACAAAGTAAAGAAAGCAAAAACACTATAGATATCATAGATGCTAAAATGGTATTATGTAGTCTTTGGCATACTCACTAATGTAACACAGAAACAGTCTGTAAACATGAGTTCTTTATTGTGAAGTGTTGGTGGTGTGGGAGTTGGGGAGAATAGGTAATGTTGGTTGCAGGGATACATTACCTATAACTGAAGGTCAGCTTTTACTTTACTTTGGCTTATTCACTGTGACACATTAACAAAAGTATAGACATAATTATCAATGTAATATGATACAAAGTTTCTTCTACTAAATGCTTAAATACCGAATGAGAAATCTCATACTCAATATTTTTTCCCCTGTGAAAATTAAAACAAGTTTAATTCTTTCTGAAGCCATAAAACCTAGAGCCACTGTGCAAGCTAATTTTCTCACTGTCATTATTGTCCTCAAGTCTATAAAAATTGCTACTCTTTTTGCACTTGACTAAAGCTGGCAATGTGAACAAACAGTAGTAAATTAGATGATTGCTTACAGATGTAAGCAAACACAGTCTTGCTCGAAAATTGGAAACATCGAAGAAAGCTTCAAAGCAGCACTATCCATCAGCCATCACAATCAATTGCTGGGGAATTGCTAAGTTCTTACTCTATCTAGCACTGAAGATTTTAAAGACTATTCCAAATGCAAAGAACTGAAACTTTAAGCCTTTTGGAATCTAAGATTCTAAACAATGTTTATCAAACCATATTTCAGGAACCATCTCCATCAGCACATATGAGCTAGTTTTAAAAATGCAGATTTCTTGACCTACCCCTAGATCCATAGAATCAGAATCTGTTGGGAACTTCCAAGATACTGCATTTTTAAGGTTTCTGTTACTGTCACCACCACCTTTCAGCGTTTTTGTGTACAGCAAAATATGAGGACGTTTTCCCTAAAGCATATTTAATCACTCATCACAATCATCAACTGAAAGTAATTTATCATATGCTTCTCTAGAGACATTTTCAAAAAGCATAACTTCTACTTGCAGAAAAATTCTTTTTTGTACTAATATGAATTTCATAATTTGATTTCATAAAGTGAGGTACAGTTGTGTTTATCATACTTTTTTTAGAAGGAATATCTGCTGAAGCAAGAATTTGTAATGTATGTTTTAAGAGCAAATGGGAAACTGACAAGTTTTAATAAAAAATATTAATGAATGAAAAAACAGTAATAAGGTTCACTTCAAAATCATTGAGGAAAACTTAAGAGAACACCTAAAGGAACTCTTCTACAATTTGATTTACTGTTAAAACACTTTTAAAAGGACAAATAATCAGGGTAGATGACAATGAGGTAGTTGTGTTGGTAATTAAAGTATTTTGATAAATGGATGAAATAATTGAAGTAATGAGCATGGAGACAGTTTCAACGGTCATCTCAGATTAAAGAGAAGAGAGAAAGGATGGGAAGAATGGTGGGGAGACAGTTTAGTTAAAACAAAGAATTGCCAGAACCGCTATAGACATTCATGCATTTAATGTGCTGATGACTTTTTCTAATTTATCTAACTGATGCACATTTTATTCTTTATCTGAAGGGAATCTCTTAGTTATAACATTTGTTAGCTACTTTGGAGCCAAACTTCACAGGCCAAAAATAATCGGAACAGGGTGCCTAATCATGGGAGTTGGAACACTGCTCATTGCGATGCCTCAGTTCTTCATGCAGCAGTAAGTCTAAAGCAATTATCTTTTTCTTGATTTAACCAACTGTATTGCTCCCTTTTTATAATTACAATTAATTGTTTAAATTTAAGAAAATCACACATGGCTTAAAGCATGATGATTTATACCTTATTTTCGTTATATCCTCTGGGAAAAAATTCAGAATACTTACAAGTTTGCTTAAAATTTAATAATCTGTAAAAAAATTGATATATAGCTATGTATCGATGTCAGCAAAAACTAAAGGGAAATTTCACTATATGTCTTCATTCAAATAATTTATCTGGGGAGACAAAATAAGTAAAAAATGAATGTATTGTGGTAGATGTCAAATGGGTAATGAATGAATGCTTCTGACAATATGCTGGGTCACTTGACTGGCAGATCATTGACTAAGGGTATTTTATCAATTCAAATAGCTATTCAGTGTCCAAATACTTTCTCATAGAACTTTTTCAGTAGGTATAGGTTGTCGGTATCCTTTAACCCTGAAGTCTGCTTTTGGTACTTTTGCTACTAAGTTTGTTAGTACTTGCATACAACTTTAGTAGTTCCAAAGATTTTCCACCATCTTCATATCATTTCACCTTTACCTGTGAAGTAGAAGATCAGTTTGTCTTTTTATTTTAGGACTAATGATCATGACTTAGTCAACTTTTCAAGGTTAGGTGTCCTGTAATTATAGAACTGGAATCCTAAAACAAGTATTCTGACTTCATGCATATCTATATTGCCTTCCTTATCCATGGTTACCTATTGCCAACTGAGAGAAGTGACTACCTAGAGGTTTTGAAGCAAGATAATAGTTTTTTAAAATTATATATCAAATAATACTTTGATACTGTTCACTCTAGATCATTGTATCATGACATTTTAGAGCTATAGAGACTTAGGTATGATATAGTACAAACGTTTTCTTGGATTCCCAAGTTACTATATAAATATAGTCAGATTTTTACCTCTGTGGTCAATCTATAAAGATAGTGCACAGAATCCTCTGAGTGGGATCTCTTGTACTTATTTGGATAGCATCCCTGGCCCCTTCATTTTTACTTGGAGAGAGATCGGTGTTTTCAGAACTTCTGCCTACTCTTTGAACACCTATCCAGCCTCCTTTTCATGAGGCAGAACTTTTCCTTGGATCACTGAGGTTCTACAAAGGTGCCATTTGGAGTCAATGGAAAAACAGCAAGCAAAGGAAAAGGCTGAGGAAATGGATCTTCACTCTGCCTAATCCCTGCTTGATCAATAGCTGTGACACTACTATCTGTCCTAGTCACTGAACCCCCATGCAACAGTTTGCCAGGTGGTGGGGGGGTGGGGAAGAATTCCATTACTTAAAAACATAAAATTAGAAAGTAGTTGCACGGGATAAATAAATCTATGACTCTTGACATAACTCATTCTGCAGTGGGTCTTTTCTGTATGACCTTGGACATGTTACTTAAGCTTTCCAGGCCTCAGTTTATGCATATTAAAAATAGGTATTATAAGTATTAAAAATAATACCTAGCTTATAATATTGCAAATATTAAACGAGATGACACAGGTAAAATGCTTACTAAGTTTCCTCATATATCTAGTAACTGTGTCATTATTGTTATGTATTGTTATGAGACCTTCTTAGATCATTAAGCCACGTGGTTTTAACCAGAGACAAGTAATGGGTTGTCTTCAGATTAATAATTTTGTCACTTCAAGTTAGTGACAAATATAAAACATTCTATTTCCCCTTAATCAAAAGCCAAAACCTCAAGATCACAAAAGTGGTAAATAGCAACAAAGCATTTCCACAGGGATCTTAGTAATTTGAGTAGAATCTTTTAGCAGTCAAGCAAAAGAGGGAGTTCACACATGAATGCCTAGGTTCTTACATAATTGCAGATTTTAGATGCCAAGTGAATGTTGACTTTACTAGTATTTGAAGTTTTCCAATAAAAGAAGTAAAATTTTCTAGTAAAAGATTTTTCTTTTTTCTAGTAAAAGAAAATCAGAAAAAGACCAGCCAGGCAGCCAGGCTAGGGTTATCAAAGGTTGCCAAAGGGTCAAAGACAAATTATTAGACACTACGTTTTTGTATGTTTAAAGTTATATTTGTTTATTTATTACTTAGTGTCTGCATTGGCCTGGTACTGTGCCATGTAATGGGGCTACTTCAGTGAGAAAAAAACAAAATGAAATTAAACAAAAATATATGTGCACAATTTTTACCCATGAAGTTTACTATCTACTAAGGGTTATTATAATAACTTCTTTTTAACTTTTCACAGTATTATTTGGACAACTGTCCAAATGTCATTTTTGATCTCCAAGAGACCACTGTACTCTTCTGCCTAGCAGAAATACTTTTGATTTCCAGCAAAACATAACACTGATCATGGATATCAATTATTGAGGGGCTACCATGAACAGACTGTGTTTAGCTTTATGTGTGTGAGCTCACCTGAATCATGAATTTAAAAAATATATATTGGTGGTTTTTCTAGGTAATGCAGATAGAGACAAAAAAATCTCTGTTCTCTTGGATCTTAGGAGGAGAAGGCAGATAATAAAGAAATAAATAATGATACAATATTCCAGATAATGTTAAGTGCTATATAGAAAAATAACCTTCTGAAGACACATAAGGAGTATGTTGCAGGGAGGAAGGGTTGTAGTTTAAAGTAGGGTTATGAGGGGATGGCTCACCCATATGATGACCCTTGGGAAAGACTGAAAGAGATAAAGGAGAGAGCCATGCAGACACCTGGGGAAGAAAGCTTCTGTGCTGATTGAATAATGAATATAAAGTTCCTGCAGCAGGAGGAAATCTGGCATGTGGGTAAACAGCAGGGAGGCCTGTGTGGCTGAAGTAGGACAAGCAAGGGGAAAATGTAAGGGGGAATAGCAGAGGCTGTCAAGGTTGTTTCTCAAACTTTGGTGGACATTTGTGTCACCTGAAGCTCTTGGTAGAATAAAGATTCTGATTTAGTAGTTCTTCGATAGGGTTTGAGATTCAGCTGATGCTGTTGGTCTGCAGACTTAACCTTGAATAGTAAGGTTGCACACAATTGCAACTTCAGCTTCTTCTTGGGATGAGATGGGAAGCTGGTGGAGAGCTTTGAGCAGAATGGCATGATCTCACTTACAGTTTTTAAGGGCCATGCAGACTCCTGCTTGGAAAAATAACTCTGGTGAGGGAAATGTGGGAGTAGGAAGACTATTTAGATGGCTACTGTAGAACTTCATGTCTCTGAATCAAGATTGTTTCAGAGTCTGAATCCAGGTCAGGAACTAAAATCCCTGGTTTAAAAGCATTTAAACCACTGGTCCCCTGTGAAATTACTTCTCTGTCTCCTTATCCAACAGAACCTAAATTGTACAGAGTACATGGATACGCCTACTTTACCACCAAAAATATTGAAATTTGAAAAGGTTAATTGATTTTTCTAGAGTGTCATATCTAGTAATTAGTGGCAAAGGAGACACTTGCATAAATTACATTTATTCAAAATCTAAATAATTGTTATGCTAAACAGTTTCATTTTGATAGAATGAATTAGGAAAGCTCAAATAATTTAAAATTTTAAAAATTCTATATAATCATGATTGACATTAATTTTAAGAGCTCTAAGGCACTATAACAGTCCATGGTACCTCTGGAATTATTAAAGAAAATTATATTTATCACGATTTTAATGCTGAATGTTCTCTTGGGTAGCTGAGAATCAACAAATAGTTATCCTCATTAAGTGGTTTTTAAACTATTTTGTCCAGAGAACCATATGATAAAAGTAACAACAACTCTGAACTTCTTTCCTTAAATACTAACATACATACAAAAATGTTGTTACTTTTTCTGTAAGGTTCATGGACCTGGTGAGGTATAGATTATGCAAAACTGATATAAGGTGACCCATCTATTAGTCTATATATTTTAATACCTCAATACATGTTTTACTTACATGGCTGAGTAGGTTGTTATTACTAATATTATAAATACATTACTCTGATTCCTAGTCTTTAGTCATATGGTACCTGAACAAAAAGAGAACCATGATGACGTTGAGAAAAAGATAATGTTGTGATGTCCTTTTATCAGGTACCTCTTTTTGGAGAGTGCAGTGGACAGAGAAATTGTCTCATGAAGGATAATTTGAGAGGGAGCATGGCTGGGGAACTGAAGATAGAATTATCACAGTGTTTCCATTCAGCCTTGGCTCTTCAATCCAGCTGCCATTGTAACCATACATCAGAGGAAAGAATGGCATTAGAAATAACTTCGAGCCCTAACAATAAACTCTAGAGAAAAGTGATACCATCCAGATAAACAGTTCAAAATCCCCTTATATCAGGGGAGAGGAATATGGCAGCAAAATAGGCAGACCCTAGGCTCACCTCATCCCATGAACACAGCAACTATCAAATCCTCCTAAATACCCCCAGAAACCAACTTGAAGACTGACAGAACAAACTCCACAGCTAACGAGAGAGAAGAGGCCACATCGAAGAAGGTAGGAAATGCAGATTTGGTATAGGGGAGAAATAGGTCACAGGTGCTGCAGAAGGGAGGGTGCTGTGGTCACAGAGAAGGGCACGAGAGAGAAGAGCACACAGGAGAATGCACAAGGAGAAAGTTTCTCCAAAGTTACTGACTTGGAAAACAAGAGAGGTTGAACTTCATCTGTTCTTGCAACCAGCGGGGCATAAAGTTTAGAGTTTAAAGGTCAGCAGACCTGGCGGATAGAGCCCAGAGGGCACTGTGCTGCTCCTGGAGAGAAGGCTGACAAACAAGCCAGGGGCATACAGCATGGAGACAGCAATCTGAAGAGTACCTGAAGCACACAGGGGTGAGATTATTTGCTCTTCTTGGTTATCTTGAAGCATATTCCAGAGAGATCACATTCACAGAGATGCCTCTTGGAACAAAGGAGCTGGTACCATTCCCCTTCCCCACTGTTCCTCAGCATAAGCACAGAGCCATCTGCTGGAAGCAGCACAGCACCAACACTAACTTCCTAACTTGC